TACAGGTGCCTACCACCATGCCCAGCTAATTTTTGTATTTTTAGTAGAGATAGGGTTTCACCATGTTGGCCAGGCTGGTCTCGAACCCCTGACCTCAGGTGATCTGCCCACCTCGGCCTCCCAAAGTGCTGGGATTACAGGCATGAGTCACCATGCCCAGCCATTTTAGACTTTCAAGATACTTCCTGAAAAAAAAAAAAGGGTTCCAATATCAAATATGTTGAGGAAACAGCATATCTGGTTTTTTTGTTTGTTTTTTGAGACAGAGTCTCGCTCTGTTGCCGAGGCTGGAGTGCAGTGGCTCCATCTCGGCTCACTGCAACCTCCGCCTCCCAGGCTCAAGAGATTCTCGTGCCTCAGCCTCCAAAGTAGGTGGGACTACAGGCGCATGCCACCATACCTGACTAATTTTTGACTAATTTTTGTACTTTTAGTAGAGACAGGGTTTTGCCACGTTGGCCAGGCTTGTCTCTTAACTCCTGGCCTCAAGTGATTCGCCCATCTTGGCCTCCCAAAGTGCTGGGATTATAGGCATGAGCCACCATGCCCAGCCGAAACAGAGTATCTTATACCCTGTTGGAGAATCACACCCTGCTGGAGAATCACAATGTTTATTAGCCTATTGAAGTCTCTGATACTCCTACAAAACAAAAAAGTTTAAGCATATTTAAACCAGAATTTTGAAAATGTGTTTATACATAGAACCCATCTTTAGTGAAAGTTATTAATACCTCAGTGAACACATTTTATAAAATACTGTTCTAATGAATTCTCTATTTTCTTTTCTCCTCTGACTTAGCATGCATTGTTCACAAAACCTTTTGCAAACTGTTGAATCTCACATTTTTTTATTTTTATTTTTGAAATTTTTCGGCCAGGCGCGGTGGCTCACGCCTGTAATCCCAGCACTTTGGGAGGCAGAGGCGAGCGGATCACTTGAGGTCAGGAGATCGCAACATGATGAAACCCCGTCTCTACTAAAAATACAAAAATTAGCCTGGCGTGATGGTGGGCACCTGTAGTCCCAGCTACTCGGGAGGCTAAGGCAGGAGAATCGCTTGAACCCAGGAAGCGGAGCTTGTGATGAGCCAAGATCGTGCCACTGCACTCCAGCCTGGGCGACAGAGCGAGACTCCGTCTCAAAAAAAAAAAAAGAAATTTCCCTCTCCCTGAATGTTGTCAGGTTCAAGGAGGTTGAAATTGCTATACTCCTATTTTTTTAAAAAGCTGAAATTT